CAGAAGACAATGGCTTAGTTCGATGTTGTTGTTTAAGAAGGAATTCAAATGCTCGTGTGGGCTAAATAAATGAATGAAAAGAAAGGGCCTCGTAGCATCATGGATATTAATGCATGGGATCGAATGAGCAGCTGCTTGGGGGGTTTTCCTTTGAGCTTCCAACTGTGTATTTTAAATGTGTCTAAATACCAAAGCGGTTTGGACTGCCAGGGGAAAGTGCTACTGGTACAGGCGGATCCAGGGACACACGTCCTGGACCTCGAAGGAATTTCCAACATTTACCCAAGAAAAAGTCAGCATGCTCAAACTTGGGCGGCTGACCGCATGACCCTATTATATACTAAATGGTATGCTACATGATCTGTTCACACAAAAAGAAAAAGAAATGAAGAAAGGAAAAGAAAAAGCCTTCAAGTTCCCATTCTTTTTCTTTCATCTTCTCACGAAGCCACAAGAATTTCACAAATAAACCTAATCCCCGAACAATCCTCAAAAGCCGGCACCTTGTGAGGACGTCCAGGGGACTTATCTACCAAACCCCCCCAACCCCCAAGAGCGATGTGGGATAGAAACCCCACAGGAACAGCTTGTAGGGCGGCTGCTGCTAAGTGTTAAAGAACCCCCACCAACTCCAGAAGCCCCCTGTAATGTTTTTTTCTTTCATCTTCTTATGAAGCCACAAGAATTTCGCAAATAAATCTAATCCCCGAACAATCCTCAAAAGCGATTATGAATGTAGAATTATATACAAGTACTATTGAGTTGATGTCCGTCTTCTATGAACCTCGTCAGACGCAATTGGCAAGATGATCTTATTACTTATCGGATGAGATAAGAGGATCTTCAGGGCCATTTATGGCTTTTTAGTGCTTGGAAGGGGCGCTTTGATCAAGGGGGCTTGGTTTGCCTTGCCCCTGTTTAATAAACCAAACTAAACTAAATATTACTGCCATTTAATCTTCTGTTATGGCCAAAAAGTTTTTTTTTTATTTATTTTAATAGAAGTTTGGTACTGCTAACTTGCAAAATGGAAAAAATTTTCGAATATCCAGAAACCGCCGACGCCGCCCAGACAGATGTCCCCATTCTGGAGAATCGTAAAAGCACGCATATCCAATCTTAAGTTATAGCCAAAATTATAGTTCTTGTCGTCTCTACAAATTATAACATTCTGTCGTTTCGAGCTATATTCATCTCAAGTTTTTAGCGTCGTTTACCATACGATTGAAACTAGTAAGGTGATTAAAAAGAAAAAAGAAAGGACATTTGTTTATCCAACGCCTTCTTGCCAAGTATGCAGCCCTAATCAGTGAAGTAAGCAATTTTTTTTTTCTTTTGAATTAAGTGAAGTAAGCATTTATGTATGGCAGGTAAGGTTTAATTAATGTATGGCTCTTATCTGATATTAGCTGTATGGATAGCGTTGAGCTTGAGAAAGAGAGCCCGATGTATAGAAAAAGGCTTGCATGATTCGCTGGGGAATATTAATAATGTGACTCAATATGACAAAATGCTCCGTGATAAACAGCCACAATCCAGGGTTGTTCCATTCCTGTTAATGCTCTTGTCAAAATGGATCAATTTTCTGAATTTTTTAAAAAAACATTTTATTGCTCTATAGGTCATAGGACAAAACTGCTAGTATATATGAAAGTGTGGATCAGGGTGCTTACGAATTCTTCTGTGAATGAATTCATTATTCTTATCTTTGGCAGCAGTTGCTTAGCTAATTATGCTCATCTTGAAACCATATCCATTCCGGACTTCTTTTTTTTTTTTTTGTGTAGAGGCGCCAACTTGTAGATTTTGAATGCCGTATCACAATATTGCTTCGGGCTTGAAATGAAGGATAAGCATTTGAATAGCTAATAATCCATGATGGAATTTTTTTTCATAAGAATAAGAGTTAGGAAAATTGTAAGAACTTTTTGACGTGCTCCATTTTTTGACGCCCAAATAGTCGGCTATGCATTACTATTATATCTTTGGAGGGATACAAATCACAAAACTAAAGAGATAAAGCACCCAGGTTTATTTAAATCATGTGACCCAAAATTTATTATACCACAACATTAATTCAAAACGTGAAGATGTGTCGAAATTTGAGTAACACGCGATCACAAAATTAGGTCTACCAAGTTTTTGTCAAAGGATAAAGACTTTACATGGTAAAACAAGTGTTTGTATTTTAGTTTGCTGTTTCACCTGGCAAAGGTTGTCAACATAGGTTGGTAGCTGACCGGCGACAATGGTAGACTCATAACGTTACCTATTCAACAAAGAAGTAAATTTGGTCTCTTCCAGTACATCGTTAGACGACTTGGTGGGGTCAAATCTCGATGATGGTTTTTGAGGCAGGACATTTTGCAGATTATAACCTCTTACTGGCGGGTCTTCACTAAGTAATGTGTGTGTAGGTATATTAATGGGTTGGATATTATTAGGATTCAACCTAGACTCAATATATTTGAATAAGATTTGGGTTTACTTTTTCAAACTCAAATTATGCTTAGATCCAAATCCAATAAGAGAGTCACGAGTTTGGATAGTTTCTGACTTTCTATTATTCACATTCAAATTCAGATCCAAAGAAGAAAATGTGAATGGCAAATAAATGAAAGATTAGATGTGAATGCAGATGAAACTTTGAAAATAAATACAAGTAGTTGATAATGATTCTTTCTTTGAACTCATAATATTGCATTCAACTTCTTGAATATCAATTTTAATATTTGAAAACATAAATTGGATGATGTTTATGTTATTTTTGAACCCTATATATTTTTAAAATATATTTATTTTAATTCTTCACTGCATGCTTAAATAAATGCCCACAAATGCTCATTAAATACCAAACCAATGAAAGATTAGAGTTTGGATTTGCATTTTTATATCCATAAGAGTCTGGACTTGGGTTTGGATTCGAATCAAAACGATCCAATCCAAATTTTGTTCATTGATATGCCTGTGTGTATATGTGTGTTTGTTTGTTTTTTTACTTTTAACTTAACAATATAAAGGCACGTCTTTATACTTTGGGTACAAATTCTTATTTGCTGTCTTTAACCTCTATTGTCTTAACACTAGATCATTTAGAGAGAGGGGGTCATATGACTCATATCAGTGAACACAAATTGTGTGCCATTGAAACAATCGATACTCTTTTTTTTTTTGAAATATAAGGAGAACTTTAAGAAAAATAAAAGAAACGACATTAGACTTCGAACCATGGATCGCAATGATACGCAATACAGAGCTAAAATCTACTATTGTCGTGAGGTTTCTGCAGCGGAATAGGTGGACAACAACCAAAGCAGTGGGCCTTATAAACTGGGTAGCTCAAGAATTAGCGAATGGCAAGGGCCGCACTCTAAAGGCCGTCAACGAGCCGAGAATCCCCGAATCATGGATCATCATGGAAAAGTAAAGTAAGCCCATGAAGCACAGACCAAAGGTACTTTTGGGGAGTATTTTTAACGATTGACAGCGAAGCAGACAAAATACTCGAGAAAATCTCATATGGTTTGCCGCTATACTAAAATCTTGTGAGCAAGACTACGTAAACTTGCTTGTTTGTGGTCCTGACTTTGACAATAATGCATTCGTATGGTTCAAACTTTGCGAAGGAAAACCAGAAGAAAAAGACAAATCAATTGCAATCCTATGAAAGCAGATTATTAATCACAATTCACAAGCACTTGAAATCCGAGTTCGACAACAGAGTTATACAAAAACAATCGCAGATTGGCCGCGCTCGATGTTGAGTGTTGGCTAAAATTCCAGTCCAAGAAGGTGCAGTACCGTGTCTGGTAGTGCTAGTAGGATGGATGGCGATTTGACGAGGAGGAGAAGCTAGTAGCAAACTAGGACGAAACGCCTCTTTAATCACCTGTCTTTCTGTGTTATGTTCTTCTGCAGTCGTGCCAAAAGCCTCAGTTGGATCATTATGGTAACCAAAGGTCACTGTCGAATGTTTCAGAAATTGGACGCAATTGAACACGCTTTGATCTCTCGGTTTTTGGGTTTAACTGTTGAAGTAGTGAACTATTGAGTGGATTGAGACTACAGCGGAGAGGCCTCATAAAAAATTTCCCCACTTTTTTAGGGACACAGAAACTTTTTTTTTTTTTTTTTTTTTTTTGGGGTGGTCTTCGGGCAAGATTCCGGGAAACTTCCGAAAAGCTGTTTGTCGCTACCAAAGGTTTAGAACAAGACGTAGATGGTTGAGCATGTCAGTTTTACAAATGAATTCAGCACCATGAACACACAAAATTTGTACGCACACACGAGTAGTAAGCATATGGTAAATTAGCGGTGTTAAATAAACGTTTTCATCCCCTTGGTTGGCTGTGAGAGCGTTATCTTCAAGGTGGTATTTACAGGACCATTCATCCTCTTGGAATGGGTGTAATTCATTAATTATTTGGTCATGTTTTCCTAGCACATTAATTTCCTCGGTCAGAATCTCCGTTCACGACAGGGAGAGGAGACTGAGAGGGGTCGCATATGAGCGGAGTCCATGAAGACAGACACAGACTCTTAATGATTTACAAGCAGAGCAGACCCACCTTGAAGTAGGAGTTTATTCGATTATTCAATTAGTCTAAAACTGATTAGTTTGATCCCATGACTGATACACCAGAGAAGACGCGATTAATTCCAACATTCCCAATGGCCGATATTCCTTCCTTCCTGTCAAAGATGCACGACTCTGCAGCAAAGAGAAATTATTGGGTCCTGAAAACGACAAATCATTGCTGGATCACATTTACTACACTAGTACTACAATTTTTTCCCACCGTTTACTTCACCACCGCCAAGGGACTGCAAATATTTGCAGAAGAAACTTCACCCACTTCTGGACCAGCCCAGTCATACTCAGCAGTAGACTGACTTATTATAGAACGACCGATGAATATGAACAAAATCTGCGTATATTATACTCGGGGTCGGGGATTATTCACTACTATAAAGTACCCCAACATTTGAAAGCCAGGATCTAAGAAAATAGTAGTGACAATAATATGTCAACATTGACCATTCTCACTCCATTTCATTGATGATTATGAAGCAGAGTTAATAAATCTATATAGTGGAGTAGTACTTTAAAAAAAGAGACCATCATGGCAACAAAAACTTTTTACAGCGTCCATTTTGCCCACAGCCGCAGGAAAAATCTGCAGCCCCATCTTTTATTCTCTTCTTATGTAGATACATACATAACTCTGCAGGCTGCAGAAGCAGAACGGGGGCAGTGCGGGGTCCGTAGACGTTCATTTAATTTTAACCCCCTTTATAATTTTCAGCACCGTGGTAAAAAAAAAAGTACACAAATTTAGATATATAAAATATATATATATATATATCAAGGGGATTCCCGGAACAGAGACAAACAGACCTCTCAAAGATCTTTATCTTTGACTGCGTCCAAATTGTTGTCAGCCTCTTTCCCATTCATCGAGGAATGCAGATTCTCACATTCAACGCCGACGGCCTGTTTTTTTCTTCTCGTCCGCAGATGCGTTTTCACGTAGAAATTCAACGACAGCAAAAGAATTGCCCCGTTCAGCACCGAATTGAATGTCCACGCGTTCATTCCGTTACAGCCACCCTTTATTAGGTGCAGCAGAAGCACCCCGATGTGGCACGCCAGATTGCACCCCAACAAAACCATCTGACAGTTCACCACGAAGGGGAAACACGCGCTCGGCAGCCCAATTGCGGTCCAGAATCTGTACCCGTAGACCACGGCGTATATGGAAGTCGTCAGCAGGATGGCCAGGACTTGGAACGATTGAGAGAATTCCAGCCACAAAAATGACGCGAAGATTAGGATGGAGTGGTTGAATATTTGGAAGACGGAGAGTTTTCTGCGCCGGAGGATTGTGAAACAGGTGCGGAGGCTGTGGAGGAAGCGGGAGAGGTAGTAAATGTAGGACCAGAAGAAGACGCGGCCCGAGGGGCGCGTGCCCAGAGGGAAGCAAAGCAGCCACTGGAAAGTGGTGGTTTTGGAGCGGCGCCAGAACCAACGGGTGTCGCGGATCTCGGCGGCGGTGGAGAGGAGGATCCCGGAGAAGATGGTGGCGGAGATGAGGGCCATGGAGAGGGAATGGAGGGCCGGGAGGGGCCCCAGAGGGAGGGGTCGGTGGTGGTTGCGGCGGAAAATCAGGATGTTGAGGAGGAGGTGGAGGAAGACGGAGAAAACCACGTAAGCGGCGATGGAGGTGAAGAGGAAGGACCAGGTGGATCCCCACAACTCCGTGTTGCTCCACCGGAATTTAACGATTGAAGGATGTTCCGACAGATAATATCTTACGTTCTGAATCAGAGTCATCGTTCACGTGACGAGACTCAGACGAACGTTGTTGCCGTCGTCCCCGTCGTTCCTCTTTTTCTTTTCTTTTTTTTGCTTTTTGTGACCTCAGAGATTGCCCAACAAACGAATTTTAGCTTTTGGGGCCTTGGGATTCTGCTAAGTTGTCGAAAGAGATATCCTTTTGTAAATTTCTCCTATCTGCTTCTCCTTTTTCACGTAGGATACCAAAATGTGATACGGAGAAACTGAATTGTTGGAAGTGTTCAGTCAGCCTTCCAAACGGCGGAGTAAAAATGTCAAAATATGGTGGGTTTGAGCATTTAGAAGGGGATGGGGGGGCTTTGAGCTGTTCTGTTGAATTCGGAGACGGGGAGGTTGAGTATGGTTTGAAGAGGGGCAAGGCAACCATTAGTAAAATTTATAAATGACTGGTGGATGGTGGTGACTGGTGAGAAAGAGTTGGGCCACGGGGACTCCGGTGCATGACACGGACCATTTTTTATTGGAGGGCGGATACGGGGAATACAAAGGGCCTTATAGTGCTTTCCCTTTCTCTCTCGCGCTCTCTCTCTGGACATTTTTCATCTTCAGTTAATTATATGTTACCTAATTTATACTAGCTAATTTACCATGTAAATAAGTGCCATTCACATTTATTCCACTCACGTTTTTTGTTTAGCATCAATTTTCTAAAAATTAGTACCAACAATCTCTTTAATTACAGCAGAGATTAGTGTATTTGGTTACCTAAAATTATAGGTGGCAAACCAACCCACTTAACTAAATTTACCCATATCCGCCCAGGAATAGATGGGTATGGATGGGTATTATTGGGTAACCCATCAAACCCAATTAACCCATTTAGAATTCTCTTCTCCCACCCATTTTTTTTTTTAGATTTTTCATTTTGTCATGATGTTAACTACTTTTGTTTCATTATTATTATTATTTGTTGGTTATATTTTATTATTTTATTTTCCCTTAGTTTGTTAATTTGCTCATTTTTCAGCACTACCAATTTATGATAAGTTTTAGCCTCTTTCTTATCTTTCTAAAATGGAATTTTAAATTTATATATGAAAAAAATGTTAGGGGTTTAAAATTTTTGGATTAAGTTTTTATATTAACTTTTATAGTACTTAGTTCAAATTTTTATATTCTTATTATTCAATTATTAAATAATATGTAATTTTACGACATAGAGTATAAATGAAAAAAAATGGTAATTAGGCTTATTGAGCATTATAAGTAAACATTTAAAACTAATGATGGGTACAAAGAGCGGTATAAATTAATAACTTAGTTTGCAAAAATAAATTTAAATGAGTTTACAAAAAGTTAAAATAAATGGGTTATAAATGGGTAATTGGGTACCATCTAATAAAATGGATATAAATGGGTTGACTCACTTATACCCATTACCCATTTTATCCAATTCAAACCCGCCCAAGTCACCCATTTTGACACCTCTACCTAAAATCATACAATAAGAAGTCTTCATAATGTTAATTTCAAGGGTAAATTATCTTTTAATCCTTATGTATGTGAGATAAAAAGTAGTTGGGAATATAAAAAGGTGAATTGGGAAATGTGTTTATGATGCAAACGAAATATTATTTGGAATAATTTGGCAATCCAAACACACTCATGTAACTCCATATGGTTTAAAAATTTATATATAACCCTCTTATTATTTGGATTAAAGTGTCACTATTAATTTTTTTTCGTTAAAACTAATGGTCACTAGTAACAAGTCAAAATCAAACTAATAAATTAACAAATTTACCCCTTTATTACTTCTTGTTTTCTCCAAACACAAAAAATGAAGAAATTGAAATAAAAAATAGATAAATAAGAATTAGAAAATAAAATTAAAGACCTATAATGATATTTGTTGTAAAAAAAGATTGATATCTTTTGTTTATTTTTTATTTATTTTTTATTTTCCTTCAATCTCTTTTGTATTTGGAGAAAATTGAGATTTTTTAGACTAAAATATGGATTTTCAAAATCATATCTTCTCTTCCCGAGAGAGAGAGAGAGAGAGAGAGGGGGGAAATTTTTTTAAAAAAATAGTAAAAAAGCAAATTTGTCAATTTATTAGTTTGATTTTAACTCTTTGCTATCTACCATTAGTTTTAACGAAAAAACTAGCAGTAACAATTTGATTCAAATTACGAGAGGGTTATATATAAATTTTTAAATTATAGGGAGGTTATGTGCTATAGTACCAAATAATAAGGGGGGGTAAAAGATAATATATTCTAATTTTAATTGACCCTAATTTCAATTCAGAGATAGGTTGATTATTTTTAAAGTTTGACAATAGATTCACTTTTTTGATGTGTTTTATCGTGAATTGTTAAGGTAGCAAATAGGAAAAAAATGTCTTTAAATAATGCCAAGTAAACATCTATTGGATAAACCTTCTAATTTTTTCTATTTTAAGAAATAAAAAGAGGTGAAAATATTAAATGTATGTGTGTGTTTTGATGACGCATGTCCACCATTTGTTGCATTTAATAACCTCAATGAAAAATCTAGAGCATGTAGCACAGCCTAAAAGAAAATGCGTGTGATATCAAAAATTGTGGGCAAAAATTATAAAATTAGATATAAAAAGTGCTTAAATATAATGAGAGCAATGATTTGAATACGTACATTGATTGAAGGAGCAACAAATTGTGTGCATTATCCAGTATTTATTGTGGGCAATCGGAAAAAAAATCTAGCATAGCGTTTCTTGTCGTCTAACTTTCGGACCCTGCACGAAAAGCATACACCTTTTCCACGTTGAAAAGGAGTGTGGCGCGGAATCTTCAGTAATTATCCGTCCCTTTTTTTTTTCTTCCCACTGATTGTTTTTGTTTTTTTCCCCACCCCCAATTAGATGGAGACTAGCCGAGGGAACTGTTTTCTGTTTCCTGCACCATGAACAGCGCGATATTCGAAAGGGGCAATTATAGTTTCGTCATGTGTACTTAACCATGTGTCCAATCTTCGGTTCCCACGATTACTCCTCGCAGCCTGGGAAACGATGCACATATTTCAGCACCTCCCTGTGAAAACTGAAACTGCCTCGTGTAAATAATCAAGCCTTTATTTTTATGTTATGCTGCTACGCACCCCGTGACGGCGAAGTGCGCAGTCAATGATGATGGTGGGGTGGACTTGCAATTGAATCGATCCGATGGTTGGTACGTCTAACTTGTGGTTCGCGTCTCAAGTTCGGCTCTAAATTGTTGGAGAATTTCTATGTATATATATAAAAATATATGGTTGGAAGCACGCCAAATCGCGAGGCATACAAGACAAATTGGCAGATACCGCTACTGTTTTTTGAGATGTAACTGAAGAGCAAGCAATTTACGGATAACCTTTTTGGTTGGGTCGGGGTAGATTAAAGTACACCTAACAAATCACTTAAACAAGGAAAAAGGAAGACGTTCGGTGGGTTTGAAGTCATCAAAACACTATTGTCGTCAAATCTTTAAAAACCGACTTTAGTATCCTATTATTGTATATACGTACACATTCCAGAAATATGTATATAAGTAACAAATTGATTGAATTAGAATTTCAGTTGGTCTTTGACGTTCCGTTAAACTCTTCCTCGGGTCGTGTTTAAGGATATATATATATATATATATATATATATATATATATATTTTTTTTTTTTTTTTTTTTTTTTTTTTTTGGGTGGGGTGCATCGTGTTTAAGGATTAAGTTGTGAGTGCTACTTGCTACCTACCACTGAGCAGCTGAAGAACAGCATAATCTAGAAGAAGATTCCCTACTGAACAGTTTCCTCCTTTTTTAAAAAAAAAAGAACCACTCTCTCTAATTTTTTTTTTTTTGTTGGGAGAACACATTTTGTGCTTATATGATTGGGGGGTCAAAGAGTCGTGGACACGTGATTTAGGTGGTGATAGGCTTTTCATGACATTGGCAGGTTGTGAACGAGTTAGCGTCACTTTGAAATTGACATCTTTCGTCCTCTCCCTCCTTTTGGTTTGTTTACCTTTATTTTATTATGTCGGGTTGAAATGTGAGTATACAGATGCATCTTATCGGTACTGCAGTAGGTGAATGCATAAAGGTTTCACCATGAAAATGCTGCGTGCATGAATGATTAATGTTGTGCTAAATTTTTTTCCCTTCAAGTAACTTCTTTCAACTATTATCTGCTTAATTTAATTAGCCCTGTGAGGCACAGACCCTTTGACCCTTTTTTTTTTTTTTTTGGGATAAGTGAAGATATTTTAAGTATAAAATCTCTCCCACGTTCGCTCCCATAAACATTGATATATGGTAGTTGGTATTTTCTCGCGTGCATCATCCTAATATAACAGGTTAACAAACTCTGTACAATTTCCGGGGCAGGGGAAGCTCCCAAAGTAAACTAAAAATTATGCGTGAGAAATGAAATAGGAGTAAGAAGCGCAACGGATCTTCTGTCCCAAATGTTGTGTCTTCTCTGTCTTATTTTTTATTATCTTGATATTTCTCATACATAAACACCATATTTTAGTTCTTGTTTGTTTCCTTAAGATCCAATAACTATTAACTGAATAATATACAAAATTTAACAAACTCAAAAATTCAAAATGCATAAAAAATGAGATTTTTACGAATTTTTCGCTGTATTTTTTAATTTTCTATTATATATTATTTTTTTGAAACTGTTGTATTTATTTTTTATTCAATTAATAGTTATTGAATTTTAAGGAAACAAAAAAAGAACTAAAACATGATGTTTATGTAGGAAAAATAGTAATATAATAAAAAATAGAACACAGAATAGCACAGAGCGTGAAACAGAAGATCCGTTGCGAGTAAAAAGCCTAGAGAGCACGTGGAGATTAAACTTACGATGAGGAATTAAACATGATTGATTACCAATGGAAGAAAAAAAAGAAACATGCAGCAGATTCGGCCTCACCTGACGGTCCATAAGCGCTTAGTTCTTTGATTCTGAGGATTGCGGTGAATGAGTAGTGTACGCGTTGCTGACTTTAATATGAGGGTAGATGTAAATAGCAAAAAATACAAAAGGCGGAGCGACATTTTCCATTCTTCATGGAAAATCGAGAATCAATCCACGTGAATATGATTGCGACGGAAGCATATAGGAGAGAAAGCTTTCTAACTTTCGACTTCTATCTAAACTGTGTTGATGATTTGTACAGCATTCATTCAATGACCGACTCATTATTATTATTTCATCGTTTTTTCTTTCTTTCTCTCTTTCTTTTTGGTGATATGATGATGGATTGAAATCCACAGCTCGAAAGGAAGCATGCATGTTTTGCTTTGGCCGGACAACAACCTATCCTTGACTAGCAAAATGTCAATCAGAATCAGCCGTGGGAGCTTTCCAGGAAGCTCCTCAAAAGAATTTATGGTCCCCATAAGGATAAGGTGTCTGTCATCCAGCAATCGCTTCAACAATTCCACCACAAATCAATCAAAGCACAACCCAGTCCTATCCATCAAAACAACCCCTTCTCTCACTTATTTCCCTCAAAAAATAAGAAGAAGAAAAGAGAGACTTCTAATTTTTTTTTTCTTCGTTTGAGCTACGTGCAAAACCTTTAACTCAAGGCATTTGTTGAGTGGTGACTTCTGACTCGTATTTCAAGCTCGTTTATGCAACTAACTCAGCAGAATTTTCTCCGCACTGTTGGTTAGATACTCGTTCGATTCTTCTTCCCCCCCAACAACAAACAAATTTTGAAAAAAAAAAAGATTGAAACAAAGGACAGGTGCAGAAACGATTTAATCTCCGTCTACGTAACTAGAGAGAGGGAACGAATTTTACACCTGGATTCTATTTTGGGTCATGAAGTGAAGCATACGCATTTTCCCAGCTTCCAAACCAGTTGACGTTTGCGTTTGGTTTGTAATTTCAGTACTGGAACAGAAATCAGACTAAACATTAAACATTTAAGAAATTACTAATTCCATAATTCCTAAAGAGTTCTCTTTTTTTTCATATTGCTAAAACGTTATTAACTATTGCAAAGTAAAGCGAGGGCAATCAAATTTGTGTTGAAAAATCATAACATTTGATATTCATTCCAAGTAACCAAATTTGATAGCAACTCTAAAATTTTCATTTCATCCAACGGGTCTTAAGAAATTAACAGTAGTGCCTCAAATGCGTTTCACTGATGTTCAATCACAGGGGAAAGCCTGTTGATGAAAATATCCTTGGCGGGCCCCAGATGCTGTAGAGGAAAGCCATACAGCATTTTATGAAGGAAATAACACTTCGAGTTTAAGGGTCTGTTTGTTTGGGTGGAAAAGGTTTTCCGGAAAACATTTTTCATATTTTCTGTTGTTTGGTTATCAATTAATTTGAAAAAATAATTTCTGATAGAAAATAAGTTACATCCGTGGGAGGAAAATAACTTCCTTATCTATTATTGTGAAGTTATTTTCCTCAGCCTTCTTTTCACAGTCTCGCAAGGATTTTCGATATCAGCAAACAAATCCAAGGGAAAATACCTTTCATTCCCGGCATCTCATCAGATAAACTACTCCGGCATCTCTCTGTCTCTGTCTCTGTCTCTCTCTCTCTCATTTTTTTTCCTTTCATTCCTGAAGAACCCCCATTTCCGCTTCCTCTGGCGTCAGTCCTCGGTGGCGATCACCTCCTCCAGCGACACTATCTGGCGGCTACCACCACATAATCTATATACTCACAAGCCATCTTCATTCGGCAGGTTTTTTTAACTCTCAGTTTCTCGTCTTCACGCACAAACACCTTCACTGCGTCTGTATATACAATTGCACACAAATTTCATTTGTTTCCTTTCGAAGTTGGATTTGAATGAATTTTTATGGGTTGCTTTTGTTTTAGTTTGTTCTTACCTGATTAGAGTTAAATCTGATTTGATTGATGCTAAATAATTAATTTGGCTGCTAAGTTTTGGGGGTTTTATGATTCTTGGAATCAGAATCCGGGTAGGGTACGGTAGTATTTTTCTTACAATCTGGTAAGACCATTTATGACAAGATTTCGATGGGGTACCACCAGAAGACAATTGGATACTTTCTTTTTCTTTTTTGGTTGAAGTTCCTGTACCCTTTTTGATGTTGGAATCAGATTGATTTCAATAACTAGTTTGAGTTTGCTGCTTTTGGGTAAACACCCGCTGATAACAAGTGACATTATTTACTTCCCATTTGCCCTAGTGATGATTGTGTTTCATGTTGCTGATTGGGATATGGAGGAATTCTGTCTTGGATTCCTTTTGGTCGAGCTTGAAGTGCAGCCTTTTCTGTATAATTTCATTTGTCTATTCTTCTCTTGTGAATTCTTCTCTGATTTTTTGAGACTTTATTCTTCGATTGATGGTAGTGTTTTTCTTACAATCTGGTGAGACCATTTGTAAATAGTTGACAAAATCTGATTAGGGAGGAAAACAGTTTGCTTGTGTTCATCCCAGAGAGCAGTAAACTTTTTATAAAAAAAATTACATGTCTCTTCCACGACTCAACTATTAGCTGCTTAAATCCATTATGACAGTTTGTAAGACCACAAATTGTGTGAAATAGAAAAATTAGCCTTTATCTCAAGAGCTTAATATACTGAAATTTTTCCTCAAACGAAATGAAACACAAGCAGGGCAGCTTCCAAAGTCATGAGATTCCAAAACACTTCTCTCTGCTGTGTTTCTAATTTACCAACTACAGTCTCCAGTCCATCCTTCCCAAGTCATGAGATCCCATAAATCAGATTTTTTGGACTACTAATATAGTCAAGACTCAAGAGGCAAGGCCTGCTTGGTTGGTTACTTGATTAGTAGCTAATTATCACTTTGCCCCAGCGACAAGGGGCATAAAGTCACCATTTTTTTGTTTATCATGAACCTAAAAAATAGAAGCGGAAAAACCTTATTAATAAACATCATATGTTATCCTACTGATCAAGTTCTGTTGCATCACTCTGACTTTTTCTGGTACACTACTAATAGTCTACTGCTACGTGAATTTTCATAGATGGATCCTGGTAGTGATGATGATGAGGATGCTATTGTAATTGGTGCTGCCACTTCAGCCATAACAGCAGGATATGCAGCTCTTGAAATCTATAAAACTCCAGTTGTTATACCTAAACCACCTTATGTCAATAGGGAGCGAGCTAAAGAGCATTACATGGATAGCAATATTATATGGAAGTAGTTCCTATTGTATAGACCAAATTAGAATGAGCCAAACTATATTTTTCCAATTACTAAATACTTTCACCATTAGAGGATTATTACAACCTACCATTCATATGTTAATAAGAGAGCAATTTTTCCAATCAGTTTAGCAAAGTTTTGTATATTCTGTAGCAAGCATGCTTATTCGGTGCATGTAACTGAATATTGTTTGTGAATTTCAGTTCATACTTGAATTTTGTGATCCCCCGGTACATGGGTTTAGCATGCAATCTGAAGTGCATGTAACTGAATTTTGTTTTCTTTAGGAAGAAGTTATTGGACAATATTTGTTTATGGCCTTTAACAGATATGGTGTGGCATTATGAGGTCCAATCTAGGATCTGCATAGTCTAGGATCTGCAATAGTAGTATGCATTGCTGTTTTGGGAGAGGGTTGAATCTTAACAAGCTATGGCACAGGTGTACATGGAAAATCTCTATCCATTAGTCTCTTGGCTAGTTCTAGGCTGGGAGATATATGGCCATAAGCCAGCCATGGAAACATGAGAACCTTGAGTTGAGAAGTAATAACAACTGGTTCTGTACCCATATATCCTCTGTTTTCTGCAAGTGCTTTGTGTCTTGGCGTTCAGTGTTTTGGTTTTTGGGAGGGGGAGGGGGAGGGGGAGGGGTGGGGAAATGGAAATGGAAATGGAAATGAGGGATGGGCAAAGGTTTTAGTCTTGAAAGGGAATTTTAAACGATATCTAGAAAGACAGGGCTATGAATTTTCTAACCGAGTTTGCTGTTATCTGTCAAATACTCATATGCTTGACCTTGGACTTTGCTAATCGAAAGATCCATTGGTCGGCAGCAAGAATTAACAAATTATGAATAAATCCAAGATTCCATTAATAATTCCATTTAAGAATTCATGGTGTAATATGAATAAATATTTTATAGAAATGATAATATAATGGGTAGAACCTAAAATTAGCTTGTAATGAAATGGATGTTTTGAGAGTAGAAAAATATTTGCAACATATCCACAAACATATCAGAAAAAATTTTCATTGACAAACCAAACACCAAAAAATTATGAAAAAGGAATTTGGAAAATATTTTCACTTAATAACCAAACAGTGGAAAATTATGGGAAAGGAAGTGATTTTCCAGGAAAATAACTTCGATGCAAAATATTTTCAGTCCAACCAAACGGACGCTAAGTGGAAAACAAACAACTTTTTCCTGCATTACTCTTTATGGGCAAGACATTTGGGAAGGAGCTGTAAGATTTTTCAACTGGGGTTTGTCAGAGTATCTATAACTGGACCAATTCATCTAAAGAATGTCAATAAGATGAAAAAAAGCTGGCCCAATTAGCCCAATAAATGTATATTAATTGGTTCAAGCCCAGTGACCATTTCGATTTCTGGGGGGTTGACTACCGAATTAAAGGAGAATTTAAATGCCAGGTGAGAAGAGCCAGACGACTGTTATTTCTCCCTGCCTGCTTACGATGGAAAGAAAGGACTGGAATGTTCTGCACTTTGGTGGCGTTTGGTAAAAGGTTTCGAAACGAAGAATTTGAATAAAATTTATAATTATTATTTGGATTACTATTATCGAAATTGAGATTTTGGAATCATATCTAAAAATTTGAAATTCTTCAATTTCCTAGTAACTTGGAAGGTTTTGAACAAAATTCAAATCTAATTTCTATCTAATTTATTTAAAACTAGAGATGACAATGGGAGCACCCGCCCGCCACCCGTTAAAAAAAGTTAATATATAATTATATACATATATGTAATTAAATATATATTATAATTATAATATTTAATTAAATATAATTATAATTATATAATATACATTATAAATATATATTTAATATATAATTTATTAGTATAATTAATATTTATATATATTATATATAATTTTAAATATATATATATTATAATATTAGTATAATTATATTTAATTATATATAATATTTAATTTAAAACTTGTAATAATGATACATATATGTATTATATAATGTATTTTAGTATATGTAATATAATTGATAATAAAAGTTGTTAATTAGTTATACTAAACTTACTAATACTTTTAATTAGAAAAATATTTTATATCCCATTTCAAAAGAATCAACGAGTCAAACATCAATTATAGTAATGATATATATTTGTGGTATTGAACCAAACAGATCTATTGGAATAACTAACTCTATTTCAAATCTAAAATGAACAATCCCAAATCCGAATCAGATTCCAAAAGTGCTAACCAAACGGTACCTTTCTGTTATTTCTCTCTGCTTACATTGGAAAGAAGGACTGGAATGTTCTAAAGTATTAGTTACGCCTCTGAAATTTGTTTTCTGTTTAAGGAAGCGGGTCAACGGCCGCCGTCTCCGTCGCGTTTTATCTTTCAGCAGGGGACGGTCGAAGCCGAGCCATTAATATCGCCTTTCCGACTTTCCTCATCTCCACCCCAATTTAGGTAATTTTTCTTAATTTTCTGTGGATCTTTCAACTTTTGTATATGCAGTCCTTTTGAAATCATTTTGTTTTTGTTTCGTTATCTGTTCTGTCTCATGCTTTGGTGAATAAGGGCTCGAATTTTAAGGGTTGGTTAAGGATTTAGGGTTTGTTATGACATCTTGTTATTCATCGAATTGAAGCGTTCTCAAATTACAAATCCTTACTCGATTTTAGAAATTGGCGTGTATATCATTTGCAGGTTATGGGCTTTAGGTTAATGAGGAGTTGGGTAGAATTACAGGATGTGGTCGCTGACTTTGATCCTCAATTGTGTACCAGTTACATTGCTTCTCAATTAGTAAATTTTTTTTTTTTTTGCCTCTTTGGTGTTTTTGGCAGTTTAGGATGCTTTTTGCTATTGGCAATTATATTCGTTGGCTTTAATCAAGGTTGTTCATTTCGTCTTCAGTTCAATCCGACTATTAGTTGCTGTTTGAATTGGTGGTTTATGGTTTTTGATGGCAAGTGATATTGGGAAATCTGCTACTGCTACTATGCCTGCTGGGACCGAGAACCTTTCTTCTTCAGGAACTGGTGATGGGGATGCTAGTGATTTTGAATGCAACATTTGCTTTGATATAGCTCAGGATCCCATCGTCACCCTTTGCGGTCACTTGTACTGTTGGCCTTGTCTCTTTAGATGGTTGCGCCACCACTCGCACTCACATGAGTGCCCTGTTTGTAAGGCCCTGATACAGGAGGAGAAGTTAGTTCCTCTGTACGGGCGAGGAAGGACTGCGACTGATCCTAGGTCAAAACCTGTCCCTGGTGTAGAAATTCCTGATCGACCTGCAGGGCAGAGACCCCAGACAGCTCCTCCTCCTCATCCTCATCCCGATTCAGCTAACTTTCCGAATTTTGGTTTGGGGCTTGCTGGAGGATTTCTACCGGTGATGACTGCAGGGTTTGGTAACTTTTCCATGTTGGCTGGTTTTGGTGGGATTTTGCCGTCGATGTTCAGCTTTCAGATTCACGGATTTCCAACCGCACCTGTATATGGCACGGGTTCAGGATATCCACATACTTATCCTGGCGGTTATTATCATGGTGCTAATGTTCCCAGAGCTCCAATGACTCCTCAAGGTTCACAGGCTGAAGATAACAAGCTACTGATCCTTCTCCTTATAATTCTCAGTCTGGTTGTTCTTTCCTTCATATGGTGATGAGTGATAAATACGCATTATAGTTTTCAGTCTTACCATTTTGTAAATGTTGCGAGGCTTTGCCAGCCCTGCATGCTGACTGTTAAATTTGAATCTTGATAACATCTCTGTCCCTTTTTTGCATTCTTGGTGAGGTTCACATTTGGCATATAACGCTCTTCTCTAAACGAAGTTCAACCTTCTGAGTTCATGTTTACTACCTATTCAATGGAAAATAGAGGGAGGAGCTGTGGAGCGGTAATAGTTAAATCACAGTGAAAGGACGCAGCTGCCAGTGCCAGGAGATGATTTGCCTTGCTCGAGTTGAGTTGGAGATCTCCCGTCTGTACACTGCTCTTTTCCTCTTTGGCACATAGATGTGGTAACACGTTTTTCTGATGCTGTGATGCAATCGGTACTTTGTTGGAATGGGGAAGCATTCGCAGCGATGCAGTACGCATTTTTGCGTCGTGTGAACTGTGGATATTAAAGACGAAGTACAAAGTCAGGACATTGCGAAATGGAGAAGGAAATTCTGTTGAAAGTCAGGAGGACTTTTCTACAATTATATGTAATGACAAAGTTCTAATGGTAACTGTTTCGTCTGCCTCAAAAAGAAAAAATTGTAGAACTTTCATAGTAAAAGGTACTCATAAAAAAAAGGAAAGTAAAATCTGTGCTTTGCTTTATCGAAAATATGATTTAATTTAAGTACTTAAAAGGAAACTCTCAAAGAAAATAAAATCGAAGGCGTTAACTCATTAAATTCCCTCCATGGGGAGTTGATTGGGGTGCATCACCAAAAATTAATAGTTCAGAGGGCACTTGCGAACCAAATTAGAAGTTCAAGGATGTATTTTGCATCTAATTTACTTTGTAGATTACTGCAGATGCAAGAACGTATAACAGAGCACTAGCATTGATTAGTCACTCATCACCAGTTGTACTTCAATACAGAGTTATTCTGATCTTGTGTGGCGCCATTGTCTTCTCTCTGACTTTCCAATTGCATACACACAGCCCAGCCCCTGGCGGAGCTTTGCCCCCCGGCGAACCATTTGGTTGCGCGGTAGAAATAATTTCAGTGACTTGCCTCTGTATCCTGAGAAATTTTCATGCGGCATGGGTTATATCATATATGCAAGAAAGAGTGTACGTGCTGCAAAAATAAGACAATCAGAAAAACTGAGTGGCGCAATAATTACTTGCTTAGTGTGAGGTAATTGAAAATTTTGAATTATTTGTGTGCTGATAATCCTAGGATGATGATGGGTTGCGTTTGGATTGCAATTTTCTATAGATAATTTTAAAATATTTCTCTTATTATATTTTCTGATCACCCTTTTATTTTTCATACATCACATCATTACAGTATATTTTTTTTTTTTACGAAAATTTCAAAAAATTACAATCCAGACGGAAAGAGTTTGCGCAACTTAGCTGAAAGCAAGAAATAAGTGATAACAGAGATATAATTACGAGAAGATGAGAACAAATGCTAATATTGCAATTGACGATATTCTAAAGCTGTGGTAGACTTCCAGTCATTTTTCCTTCAAAAAAAAAAAAAAACAGAAAAGAAAGACTTCCAGTCATTTTAAAAATAAGAGTTCAGAAAAAAATCTGCGAATTGAACCGATCTCTTACAATTATTAGCCAAATCTTTTCTAAATTTTGCAGTGTAATGCTTAATTCGCCTACCAGAGAGGGTCCTATGGTGCATCCATGTTAATCATTTTAACGAAGGCGTAACTAAAACATAGACATGGATAAGGGTTATATATATTAGTTTTAATGGCACATCCAATGTGTATACAATTTTAAAAACACATTACTTATATATGAATTAAACTTAATTTTTCGTATTAAAAAATTTGATCTTTTAACTATTTTTTGTATGAGATTATAATAGTTTGTTTGATAGTTATGGTACTATTGTAGTTATATTGGCAACATATAATGAAGTAGCTAAGTTTAAAGTTAATTTTGAAGGAATTGAATTAGTCATAGTGATGCTGTTATTTCCATTGAATTGAATGTCATTGTGGGCGAAAGGAGAAGTGGATAGAAGAAAAAAGGGGAAATGAGGGATGCTTTCTATATTCTATAAAGAGACGCAAAATTTTAGCACTAAAAGGTGCTCAAAGTTTATATATAGAAAGAAAGATATATATATATATATATATATATATATATATATATATATATATATATATATATATATATGTATATACCGTTATTAACCAAATGTAGAAGTATCTACAGTTACAAGAGGATTTTCTAACCATTCGTTGATCAATACGTTATTCCTTTTCCTCTTTCTTGATGGAGAGGTGGAATCAGGTTGACGGTGGTATTTGTTTTTCTTCGTACAAACGAGAAGTTTGCTTGAAAACCTGTTTGGGAGAAGTATTCCGGGCAGGCACGACAAAACGATTATTATTATTTTTTTTTTTTAAAAAAACGACAAAACGATTAAGTCATACTGAATAGTGGTAATAAATAATGCCCTGGTCTAGCGCATATATGTATGGGACGTAAACGGCAGATCTTCAATCATTCCCGGGGCCGACTTTGAGGCGGTGGTCTTGATCTCACCATTGCCCACCACCCACCGGTGGTGTCGGTGGCCGCGGTACACGTACATTAGAGCTGCTACTACTTACGTTAACTTGGCCAAAGGAAAACCACAAAGTACCAAGGACGACTCGAGCAATTAATCTTTGCTAGGAGGTTTGCCTGCAGTTCTGTTCATTAGTTGGAGATTTGCGGCCTCTGCTTCTCAAAAAATTTCTCAAATTTTTTTGACGGTGTGAAAACAAAAGCCCACATTGCTGTTGCATGGAAAGGCACATTTTTACGGAGCAGAAAAACGTACAATTAAATCATGTATAGGAGGGAGGAGACCAAAAAGGAAAAGAAGAAAAGAGAAGGAAGTAGAAACATGGATGAATGAGGACCGATGAGTTAGTATATGACATGTGGAGAACATGCATTAGAAAGTACGTTGATTGAGGAGGGCACTAATAATGAAGCATGAGACGGCCAAGGGATGACAACGCCATAACATCGTCGCATTTGAGCAGCTGCACATGCATTTGGTAGTATACCATACTACGTTAACTCAGATACTATAATTAGTAGTAGTATACTATCAATTGAGTTTATGGTACTCGTACTTTTCTTTCCTTTCTTTCAACATTTTCTCGCGATTCAACTCTGAACTGTGCCAACCATATCCGACTGTATACTTATTGATGCAGTACAAGAGGGCTCTTCATTCCAAACGAACTCTAACGAAGAAGAAATTACCCGCAATGTCCGCTCCAGTGGGTGCTGTAACAGCATCTAATCTTCTGTTATTTACGAATCTGCATTTGTTGACGGGAGTAATATGATAGCAATTGTGTCGCACTCCTTCCGTCCTATTGAAAGTGTCATATCTTACTTTTTTTACTGTTCCAAAATGCTTGTCATGTTTGACATTTCTAACTAATTTTTGTTCTTCGCTAATGATCCATAAAGACAACTGTGACGAGATTGCTTTCTATTTTTTACTTTAACCAATACATGATTAAGGGTAAAAGTGAAATAAAAGAAAAAATTTCTTGACGAAGTGTACTATACATAAAAAAATATATATCTCCAAATATGACTAAATATATGGGACGGAGGAGCAGTGCATAGTACTGTACAATAATATCAACACAAAGAGTTTGGAAATTGGTGTTTCATTTGTTTCCAAAATCAAAAGACTGCAAACCAAAAATGAACGTCTATCTCATCCCAAAAGATAAAAGAGAAAAACAAAATTGTGAAATAGCTGAGGTATGACCAGGATTTCGCACATGAACTGACTAATTCTTGGTTAAATGTTTGGCAATCGTCATTAAGTGAAAACACCTCTAACAAAATTAAGAAGAGTAGAGGCGTGAATGAGCGATCACGCCATGTATTCAGTTGATATTTGTCCGATCATTTACCATTTACAAATGGTTATTAATTAGGAGATTATTATTCTCACCGATATTCATTAATGAAATGACAAAGGCCACATTTATGATAGTGTGAATCAAGAAATGTGACACCCTGCAAGCGTAATAAAGTATTCAAAACCAGATGAGATCGGCATGTTCGCGTTGATTCCAATTATATCGAGCTAGCTGTGTACTTATCCCCTTATTACGCCCCTAACTGATCTGCATCCTAACAGCTAATACTCCTTTATTATGCCCTTTTTTTTATTAAAAAAAAAAATTCTCGTCTTTTTGTGAGAAAAAAAAAATAGTTCATCAATTTTTTTTAAATGTTGGGGTAGAGCATCGCCCATCGTCTTTTTAAATTTCTTGTCCCAGTGGCGGAGCCACGTGTTGTTGAGGGTTGGCAATTGCCCCCCTCAATTTTGAGAAAATTATTTTTTAGGCTTACAAATGTAGAAAATTTTAAAATTGCTTCCTATTTGCCTCCTTAAAATCTATGAAGTTTTCTTTTCTAAGTACATTTACCCCAAAATCTAATAATTTCTCTTTTCTAGTGCATTGGCCCCCTTCCCTCGACCTCAAAATGTTAAAAATTTCATTATTGTTACCTTTCACAAGAGTGTTAAAAACATCCATATTAATCCAAGTATAAACTTTGTTGATGTTTCTAAACACAAATTGGTAGTGATTTTTATTGCTAAATTTGAGTATAATTCGAACTTAAAAACATATTTTACATAGGAAGAAGATGTATGTTTTGCATAGAATTTTATTTAATTTAATTCATTATTACTGCATTTTACACGCTGTCACAGATTGACCCTTCTAATCTTATTCTTAGGTTCCGTTTGATAAAACTGAATCTGAATGCTGAAGTCTGAATTCTGAAATCTGAATACTGAAACAGTTAATTTGCTGAATTTTAATCACTGAAAAAAATATATGAATGTCTGAATTTTAATGCTAAACCTATTTATACTGTTTGATAAATATTTATAACTGAATGCTTAATAAGTTTAATTTGACAATTTTGCCCTTATATCCTTTCATTCAAAAAAGAAATAGAATCTATGATTTAATTAGTTTAAAATTGTTAGGCATGAAATGACAATATTTATTTTTAAATCAAATTAATATAAAAGATGAAATATATTATATGAAGAGTATGGAGAAAATGTGAAAGTCATTAAAAAAGGAGAAAAGAGAAACTAAAAATCATTAGATAGAGAATATTAGATTGTTTAATTAGATAAGAATTTTGAACATAATTAACAAATAAGGGTAGATTTGGTAGATAAGATAAGGTAGTTGAAGTAATTCTATTGATTTTTATCAGAATTAAGCATTCAGTTAGGATTCTTATGCTGAAAAAAATACACACAGGTTCAGCACTGCTTAACAAATTCAGCAAATGGATTTTTATTTATCAAACACTCAAAACATTTGAATGTCTGAAAAAATTCAGATTCAGCACTTTTTTATGTTATCAAACAGACCCTTAGGGTCTTGGCTTCGCCTCTATCTAAGACCGAGCGAGTGTTTCGGGCAAGGACAGCGTATAAGGCTTTGCACCCGGTCAAGCATCTTCTTTGGCGAAGATTTTTTTACTATTTCGAGCATATTAATGGTAAAGCGAAGCCATCACAAGGTTGAAAAGGCAAACATGTCGCAATTGGGACGGCCTTTTTCACCAGTTTCTAGTTCAGCAGTCTATTCATTCAAATTTCCGATCGATGGAGCTTTCATTATCTTCATCTACGCTCGGCCCACATGGCTCCTGAGAGCAAGCAGTCGGGTGGGTGTGTGGCAATTTTCCAGTCGTGATTGCAGTCTGCAATTAAGTCTTCAGCGTAAATTATTGGCCAAAACAACAGAAAGGAGAGAGAGATAGACACACACACCCCGAATAAACTGGAACTGAATAACCAAGAAGATGAAGGTCCTTAGTCCTTACCCCCGGCTTAAAAAATATATATATATATATGAAAAAAAAGCAAGAATGTGCCAGCAAACTAGTGGAGTAAAGGCCTTTTTTTTTTTTAATAACCATTAGGTCACTGGGATAAGCCTATTGATCAGAAGAGAACTTTTAGAATTCTTTAATTCAGGGTTCGAATCCTATACATGATAATTAGGGATGAGAAAGGTGTGAAGAGGGGTGAAAAGGCAAAAAATAAAAAAAAAATGAAAAAAAGAGGTCCTTGCTGGCTCGTTGTTGTAGTTGTCCTATATTTTGTATTATGTAACCGTTTACTTGCAACAACAGTTAAATTTAATGGATTCAGATTTTAATATATCCAAGTCGTTTGATAATAAAAAATTGAACCTTTGAATTAATTAAGTGACACTGAATTTTCTAGACAAAACTTGTTCCCAAAATTAAGTGATAAATTATACACTTATCACTTGAACGTGATATGCACTCAAATGTATTAAATTTAATATTTAACAATTCAATAACTTAATGGATTTAAACCTCGGGTTTCATACTTCAATTTTATCAAATGCATCCTAAATCTTTATACACAAGTTTGAGCAATTAATAAGTAAATTTGGCTGAAAAGTTCTTACATCATCTGTCAGTGCTTCGTTTTAAAACTGATGATTGAGTTCAAGTTTTGTGAAATGTGATCGTAGACGTAGAGGGTTTTAGAAGATCCAGTAATGATGGTGGTAGGCATATATGCCTGCGTGAATTATTATGAATTGACGATGGCCTGGAGACACGGGCTCGAAAGTAGGCTCCGGAATTTAATGTTGCACTTACTATACGGAACAAAATAAGCGATGAATCAGTTGCAATGCTCACTAACTTGTCCTTGTTTTATCAGTTGGGATTTGAGTTTTCCTTTCAAGTTAAACCAGCAATGTGGGTCTGCTTTCTCCGTACATCTTTTCTGTTGCACCTTAGTTTGGACTCCTTGAATCTGCCACCTGTTATCGGTAGAAGACTCACATGTAGTTACTCAGATTATCTCTCATCTTTTCTTCTCTGTCTTCCTTTTTTTTTTTTTTTTTTTTTTGTTGGGGTTAAATTTTTCGTTCAGTTGGGTGAATTTCTGATCCTATATAAGGTTGTTGTCAGCATAATTTGTTCCTAAGCTAATGCCGCAACGATTTAGCTTAGGGATGCTCCGCAAATATCCAGCTGAAATGTTACACAGAAGACGTGACAGATCTGCTAGAACCGTCCACGACGTGGATGGCTCAACCAAATGAAATAGAGGAATTAGGAGAGCCAGAATTGGAGCATAGCGGTATTTTAATTAGAAAGTAGCATACTTACGTTGCCATGCCAGGTCCCCGGAGCAAAAGTTGACAACAACCTGCCAGTACCATTGAATTCCTTTCCACCAAAAAAAAAAAAAAAAGGGTGAATCCCTAGTATTGTTTTGATTGAATCTTTCAAATATGAATGAGAAGTTTAACACCTAATCTTTACTTGTCCATAGTTCACCAACTTTTTTCACTTTTACAATTTTTTCCTATTACCCTCCTACTCCTCCCCATATCTTTCCTATTTCCAATCGTCGTCACGTTCAGGATTTAAACACTGAACCTGATAATGAAGAGAATTCTAAGAGCACTCCTTTGGCCACGGAGGTTATCTCAGTAGTTCAGTGATCAGCGGAGAACTCTCAGAGTACTTATGCTGCCAAGTTCAAGCGAGTCTAATAGTTGGGGGTGGGAGTTAAAAAAAGAGAGAGAAATTTTCACTTGACATTAGGTACTTCTTTTTTAATGTCAATTTACCTTTTTATTCTTTTTTAAAAGACTTAGAGCAGTTTTAGAACTTTTTTCTTTTTGGGCTTTACTTAAGTACAAATTATGAAAGACAGGATGATTTTGTTTGTCAACTTTGTACGCTAAATTTCCGTCGCTGGGGACGACAATGGAACTGGAAAGATTCACTCTCCTTGGACTTTACCTCACCCAGCAAAACTACAGAGGTATTCTCTGTACTCTATAGTAGTCTGTAGCGTCAATCTAGTCATCCTCCAAATTTTACTCAAATATCATCGAATCGACTGACATCAAAAGAGGGTCACATTATTAATTACGCTCAAAGTTGCTGCTGCTTAAATATCACACATTGAACTCAGAAATTCTATTAACTCCACGGCTTTGGGCAATAACTAGTGAAGGACAGACAGAAAGGAAATAATAAGAGAGAAACACACAACCGGACTTCCAACACAAAGAAAAGAGAGAGAGAGTCTTCCTCTCTCCACTCTCCCCTTCTCATCATCTTCTTTTTCCCATAATTCATTCCGTCGCCACTTGTATTTGCTCCATACGATGTCAAGATTTTCTTCATCAGTTAGCCCTGTCAAGATTATTTCTCTCCTCCTGTGGTTCATCTCTACTGCTCCGACCGCTATCAATGCAACTACCAAAATCAACCACCTACAATTCAAGTTCAGAGAAGCACCACAATTCTACAACTCTCATGCTTGCCATCACCTAAGCTACACCGCCTGCTCAGATAATGCAGTGCACGTAGCCATGACCCTGGATGTAGCCTACCTCAGGGGATCAATGGCTGTGATTCTCTCGGTTCTTCAGCACACTTCTTGCCCGGAAAACGTAATCTTCCATTTTGTTGCTTCCGCTTCCGCAGATATTAGCCACCTGAACCTCACTATAGCCGAGTCATTTCCGTATCTTAGCTTCACAATCTATCCCTTCGATGATTCGGCCGTGGCAGGATTAATATCAACCTCAATCCGGGCTGCTTTGGATTGCCCTTTAAACTATGCGCGTAACTACCTGGCCGATCTCCTTCCTTCGTGCGTTGGAAGAGTAGTTTATCTGGATTCTGATTTAGTCCTGGTCGATGACATTGCAAAACTAGTTGCCACTCCGTTAGGTGTTCGAGCAGTTTTAGCTGCACCTGAGTATTGCAATGCCAACTTCACCTCCTACTTTACGCCTACGTTTTGGTCCAACCCTTCACTTTCTTTAACGTTTGCCAATCGTAAACCTTGCTACTTCAACACGGGAGTGATGGTGATTGACGTGGAGAGATGGAGAGCTGGAGATTACACCACAAAGATAATAGAGTGGATGGAGCTCCAGAAGAGAATGAGAATCTATGAATTAGGTTCTTTGCCTCCTTTTTTGCTTGTTTTCGCCGGAAACATAGCCCCCGTGGATCATAGATGGAACCAACATGGTCTTGGAGGAGATAATTTTAGGGGCCTATGCCGGGATTTACATCCTGGCCCGGTTAGCCTACTGCATTGGAGCGGAAAGGGGAAGCCATGGGCTCGACTGGATGCCAACCGGCCATGTCCTCTTGATGCCCTTTGGGCACCTTATGATCTCTTGCAAACGCCATTTCTTCTTGAATCTTGAGGTAATCGATGATTGCATATTCTTTCTTCCTTTTTTTTTGTTTTCTGCCCATTATTTTCAGATCAGGAAATGGATCACTAGTAAATTCATTTGGTCGCGTAATTTATATTGTGTTTCCTAATTATTACAGGGGTGTTACTAGCATGTAGATTGAATTACAAAAGAAGGCAGAGATCCGTGGCTAGAGATCCTCCTCCTTTGTGAGTGAATTTTCCTACACAAATATACATATATATATATAGTATTTCAGTTCCGTAAGTTCGCCAGCTTACTGATGATGATGATGATGGCTGTTTGTATATTATACATGTAGTACTAGATTTCTTGAGTTTTTGGCTGTGTATACGTGCCTGCCGCCTGAGAGGCTGAGAACAGGTTTGAGTACAGCGGAACAAACTTTAACAAAAGTACAGACTTAGTTATCCAGAGGATCTCCTTTTGCGGCAGTTAATTACCTTGCTCGAAGTTTGTTGTCCAGAACTTGAATGTGCTATTGCCTATTGCGTTTGCTGCAAAAAAAATCCACCGAGATTCCGATTCCCTCGTAGTATTGTAGGACTGAAATTTTAAGTGGATCGCTTTGTAAATAAATATTTTCACAACAATGGCTATGGTAAATTTTTTGATAAAAATAAAAGATACTTTTTTTTTAAATTTATTTAAGAGAAATTCTAAACTTAATAAGAAAGTCAAATAGAATATTTTAAGAGCATACGACACATGGTGGCCGACTAATATCCTACCACCTCACTTGAGTCCTATTAATTAAAAAGACCATCCTTTTGATCATGTGCAACAAGAAACTAATCTGAATCCTTCCCTCCTTAGCCATACTTCATTTGCATTTTTGCTTCTTTCAAAGTCGATGCGATCATCTCGGTACTTATTTGAAGATCAACACCGATGACATAAGCCAAACTAGAAGAATTAAGTTCAAATGAGGCATTAGTTGGACGAGAAAATTTTTGCTTGAGCATAATATGAAGATGGAAAGTGTGGTACGATCCCGTAAGCATACATGTTATGCTTTTTGTATGATACAGTAAAGTCCAGGGGCGACTTTGGTTTTTCCAGCTATTATTATGAACACTAACCACGGGATAACTAGTGGCTGATAAATGACATGATCCGATTCCCGATAGGGATAGCTACCCTCATCTTGTTGAATTACTTGATTTTATTTCATTTGAGGCCTTTTCCCCCTCTTTGTTTGAGGCTTGTCGAGGCAGAATAACGCCAAATATAGTTAATCTTTTGGTAAATTTTTTTTTGTTTTTTGGATTGAATTCAATTTCGATCACCACCAAAATTTAGGTTATGTTTCCAGAATATCACCCACTAATACTAGTCTCGTATTCACAACGGAATTCAAACACAGGATCATCTATAAAAAAAAAAGTGATTCGACTTTAATTACCAACCGATTCAAAATTAGTTGACCTATGGCTTGCCCAAATTGCTCTCATGACACTTGGCTACTACGTAAATATTTCAAGGTTCTCTCGCTGATTGTACAACAATTACAACCAACTTTACATTTTTTTTCTTCGATTAGAGAGAATATTCTTTTAATAGCTGAATGGTACCAACGAATAATGTTCATAGATTTGATTAACTGCGTAATTTGACTTGAGAAACAAGAAAGAGACCTCCTCCAATAGCCCGGACGATAAGAATTAAGTGGGAAACTTGTACGAAGACTTGAGAGTGTCGGTGCCATCCTTCTTCGGGCTGGGGGGGAGACCGGCAAATGCTTTTGTTTGAAATATTTGACGACTTCGATCTGAGAAGCACATGGGAGAACAATGAAAAGCGAGGCCTTCATCACCATGCAGCCGTCTGATTGGATTCTTAATGAGAAAAAGATTGCAGTTGATGTTCTAAGTGGGTCCTAAACTAAAGCACCCTTTGGACAAGGACGACCAATGTCAATTACTAATAATTTTTTTTTTGTGGGGTTATAAGTAGTAATGTCCTAATCAGACTTCTTTAAAAATAACGTTTACAGAATAGGCTAGTTTAGGTTATAGGAATTCTATCGTGTCGATAAAAAAAAAAAAAAAGATAACGTTTACAACCCAGAAAATTGGACTGGAAATGTATGCTAGGTCATTTTTTCCTTTTTCTTTCCTTTTTGAATCAAAAGTGTTAGTACTATTACGTTCCTTTCAATTCATGTAGCTGAATATTATGGACTCATTTGAGGTTTTTGATTAATCAACTTTCTAAGCCTTAAATCTCTCAGATTTTAATTGCTAAACACCTCAAATTTTGAAATTAACACCTTTAATCACTAAGATGTAACAGCTCATGATACTTTTTTTCTCCATATATATTACGCTTGAAATTAATACTACCTTTTTTTTAAAAAAAAAAAAAAAAAGTAAATATCTGCTTCATCCAATAAATGACTTCTTTTCTGGTATTCCAATATGAGGTTTCAACTTTCTGATATTTTAATTATTAAATACCTCAATTTTTGTAGGGGTATTACAAAGTCCAATTTGAAGACCAATATGGTTTAAGATCCAAATCACCAGTTGTTTTAATCACTCAGAAAAAACGCTCCTTGTAGATAAGACATTGAGAAAGATCAGGGCTAGAATTGGGCCGTGAATGGGTATCGGATACGACAGAAGACATTTCACGACGAAATATGAAATGGACAGATGTTGCATGGGCCTGCAGTGAGCAGACAATCTTGCGCAAAACTCAATCCAAGATTGTACCCAGGACCCACCCAAATCAATTTTGCCAAATAGAATCTGTTTGATTGATGTCTAGGGATGGCAATGGGGGCACCCGCCCCACGGGGGGCTCTCGGGGCGGGGGGTGGGGAAGTATACCCACGCCCCGTCACCCGCAAAACAAAAAAAAAAAAAAAATATATATATAAATATATATAATATGTAAGTTAATTAGTTATAAACTTATGATAATGATATTATTAGTTAGATGTATTATATAATGTATATTAGTTTATGTAATATAATTGATATTATCAATTATATGAATAATTATGCATGTCTACTAATAGAATTTATTAATTAGTTATACTAAATTTACTAATACATTTATACTAAATTTCTAATTACACTTAATAGAATAACACTTTTTTTTCAAAAAAAAGTACAAACACAATAAAGAATTAGTGATTGCATTTGTACTAAAAGTGAAAACTTGACTATTTTAGTTATATTTATTTCATCATATTGGATTGTATTCAAATAACTTCTGTTTGATTGTTTTTATGAGTTTCAATTGTAAAATTACAATGAATAATAATTTGGTGATGTGTTGATATTTTAGGTACTTGATTATTTATTAAAATGTAATTATAATAAAATTTTATTAATCCCACGGGGAAAGCGAGGCAAGGCGGGGCGGAGGCGGGGGGAGCGGGAAACGAGGGACGGGCGAAACTAATAGGCAATGGGGCGGGGGCGGGGGCGGGGGAACCCGCCCCGTTGCCATCCCTATTGATGTCAGATCAAGGGAAAATAGTGGGTCGAGCTTTTGCAGGATCAAACCTCCACAAGGGACAAAATGAGGGGATAAAAAAATCGGTTCAACATCTAAATAATCAAACCTCCAAAGTGGGGGAAAAAAATGAACTTGCAAAAGTTCCTCCAAAACAAGAGTCAGCTCTCAACATTAAAAGAACTTACATTAATTCGATCACACTTCAAAACCGCGCACTAACCGGAGAACGCAATTCTGTCATCTCTAGCTCGTTAAAGCTTCAAACTTGATGAAGATGGTGCTCATTCCTTGTTTGCCTCCACCAAGTAGTCATGACCTCTGTCGTCTCTGTTGCGCAAATATTTGTAGTATACGTACTGTAATATTATCTGCGGTTACGTCCATTAAGGCGAAGCATCCAAATGATTGATACCATGGAAAGAGGACTAGAAGTAAAAAGGATTTTTTTTTTTTTTTTAAAAAAAAAATATTTGAGATAAGGATACAAATAAGTCCAGCAACACACAGGCAACGGCATCTAGCAACCACGGCATGTTGGCCTTAATTTTGTCCCACTCCGTGTTTCTCACCAGAATACTGCATCCATTAATTAGTAAACAAATCCGACCAGTAATTAAAAGTCCTTTGTGTTTATTATTATTATCAGTATTTTTCGTTTGTGAGGAGTGCAGATTTGCTCCTCATTAACAATTATTTCAATTATTTACACACTTTACATATGCATACCTGCCCACATAAGCGGCATTTGCAATCAGCGCAAAGATAAACATCAAAGGATTTAGGCCCTGTAAAGTTTGAAAAGAAGACATCTTATGATTGAGGGAAGCTATTGAAAAAAGTGTAAAGACTTAAAAATGGAGTCAGAAAAGGTTTTTAGTGCCATACCTCCACGCTTCCTCTTTTGATCTGATAAAGCAGAACAAAGGAAAAAAAACAAAACCAATACTCAGAAGAAAACCGTCATGGAAGGCGCAAGAACTCATTTTAAACCCGATAGTAATCATCTGGGCAGAGAAGAACTTACGTTTAACCATATTTGAGGAAGTCGACCGCCCATGTATATGGCAGCCATCATCCATCCCAACCATTGCCCAACTGCATTGCTTCCCATTCCGTGCTCCTGTTGTTGCCATACATAACTTCATCAACTCTTCTTATCACGAAACGAAACAAAGCATGTGAACTCCAAGCAAGGAGGAGGAGTTGAAATTTCAGCTAAAAAAAATCATAGAGTACTTGTAATAGTTTCCTCCCACTGAATCCAATGGATGCTTGCATCATAGCCTTGGTTTGTGTAGGCATGCTCATCGACGTCGCTACAAAAGCACCATAACCAGCCTGCGAATAAGTCATGTTTTGCAGTCAAACAAATTTGGCGTTAGTGTTAAGTAACACAACAATTTCTGAATGGTTATGTGCTAATCTCGAGGTAATATGCCTTTTATCCCCTTTGTTGAGGAGGTTATTTGCGCTTTTAAAATTATTTTCGTTCCAAACCGAGCCGTTTTCATGGTCACCCAGTTTCAAGTTTTAGTGGCAGATTGCGAGTGAGTTCAAACAAAGTCAAAGGAAAGGAGAAATCTGGTAAAAGCATTAATCAAGATAGGATGTCATTTCGCACTAACAATGAATGAAGAGAACATTCCAGGAAGAGTGAGTGCGTGCTTTATCATTTACGACGAGACACTTACGGATCGGGGGAGGATGGGTCTGCTCGTAGCGCTCTGGGTTGCCTCATCCTCTGACGAAGAGCCATCCTCCAGGCCGATAGCTGAAGGACCACTTCTCACTGGCCATATCGACGAACGAATGGGAGGAGTGGCGCTGCCGGCCAAAGATCTGGCTGACCTGCAGAACCTCCGTCGAATACGTATAAGTGCACAATTGCATCTACCATTTTTGTTTTAATATATATAGAGTTAATTTGTTTTCATCACAGAAGCTAGCTATCAATTACTACTACTGGGT